GCGCCAGCGCCAGCCGCAGCAGCAGCAGCAGCAGCAGCAGAAGCAGCAGCACCAGCACCAGCACCAGCACCAGCACCAGCACCACCAGCACCAGCACCAGCAGCAGCAGCAGCAGCAGCAGCAGCAATCTCAACCACTACCACAACCACAACAACCACAACCACAACAAACATCGCAACCATAACCACATCCACAACCACCGTAATGGTGGCGGCGACAGAGAACGGCGTCGTAAGGTAAACTGCACACACCAAACAGCATCATCAAAACGACTCCTGAGGAAACTAAGTCGTGGGAAGTAACATGTGGCAACACAACAAGCCAAAAGTTTGGGACTCTATCGGAGATGACTCTGCAGTCTGGGGACGCCAAAGTTGGCATTGGAACGCTGACCCCTAAGTCCAAACGTCTCCGGAACAGTACAGAAGTCCAGCAAAGCCAGGAGGCGCAAAGCCATGGCCTGCCATGAGATCATGGACTTCCGGTTCCGAAGGCATCTGCCAAATGTCCGACATCTCCACATGCTCGGCCTGCTTGGACAAACCCGTGATTGGGATGTACAACAACAAACTTGCGTAACGCAACAGCCAAACAGCATCTAAATGGCACGCTCTTGTTCCTGTTCCTGCATGCCCCCTACGCCTATGCCTGGGGCAAAGGCAGAGTGATTGGCAAAAGGCAGTGATTCAGTTCAACCCCCAGGTCTGGGGCTATGAGCATGTGAACTGCTGGGCCTTTGTCCTGCATAGTTGTTGGCTAGCCAAGAGCGTAGTTAGCTGCCCCAGGACTGCGACAGGTACCCCTGCTCTTTACTACATTGATGTTACTTACCTATATTGCTATATAAATCTACGGATGGCGTTGTTTACCCAGATTTCCTTGTCTTACTGATGCTAACGGCACGCGCACTTTTCTCTCGTGTTGAACAAAGAGATGTCTTTGTTTTGATACGTTCATGGTGCCACGGAATTTGATGTCATGGGGAAAATCACTACCAGGCGTGTCTGCTTCAGGCCTCGCTCCGGAGCATGTTGGTATACTCCTGGGCGTACTGCACCTGAGAGTTGGGTCCACACAAGCAGAGAAGCCCGCACTAGAATTGTTTAGATCTGCAACACAGAGAACATTGAGAGTTCCTGCGTCTAATCTAATCAGGATACGTATAGCCCCTTTATCAGCCGATTCATGACCTATAACTGACATGCAATTGGGTGCATCTCTGCTGGCAAAGGACTAAGAAAAGTAGCAGTTCAAGCTTGCACAATGAAGATCCACCTCCTAACGCTGCCCTGTGTTGCCCTACTGCCTCCTCCTCAGACAGCATCATCAAAAAAACTTTCCGTGATGCCAACACGAAAGCAGCAACAGGCCCACCGTGCCAAATTGAAGCCTGGCACAGCCAGGCTGTGCGTAAGCGGGTTGGATGAGATGGTCTGGCAGAAGCTGTTCATGTCCAGGATCAGAATGCGCGACACATCTGTAGCGATGAGGTCGCCCACGAAGAACCATTCTGTCCAAAGGCACATCCTGAGAAGCTGTAGTTTCCAAAGTCAGGGCCCAATGTTCTGCCTGACATACCGGGATTCCTCATATACGAAGGCTTTGGACAAGGAACCCGCTTTGAACATCTCCCATACCAAGCAGACACAAGTTTCGTGATATCATCAAAAGGACACCACATATGCACAATGGGCACATGGCCAAGGAACTCTATACACAACCATGCTACATTGCAGGCGTTCATGCCGTCCGGACCGGATGCAAATGGGACCCCTGCCTGGCAACTTCTCGGCCTTCCATTACCATGTATGCCTGCTGTCAGTTTGTTAGTTGCTTGGTCCACTTTCCACAATAATTGACTTACTCCCTGAAGCTCCCTTTAAACGTTCTTGAGAAGCCCACCTGTTGCCCTATACTCTTCTCGCATAGAAACAGGGTGCGTCATGGGAGTCGTCCAAGCCCAAGACCCCCGAAGCAGTCATGACATGTTTCTATGCAGAATCATGTTTTTCCGTGGTCAAAACTTCATGCCAAGTGCAGTTCAATCTTCTCTGGGGCATTCTGCCTAGGGGTTAGTCCGTGGATAGCCTAGTGCCTGTTCTCTCATATACTTTCAACCAGATTTCGTAAACTCAGGGGGTTCAGGAGCTTTACCATGCGAAGCTATATGTGAAAATCCCCTTTTAGCAAGGCATCTCCGCTGTCCAAACATGAAGGCACTCCTCTGCCGGGCGCGTCTCCTGCGGACAAGTTTCAACTTAGGGCTGGGGGATGTGGGCTGCAGGTTCGGCATTGAGGGTTCCATAGGTTCAGGTCCAATCTTGGCTTTGGGACGGTACTTGGGCTTAATCAACTGGAACCTCCGATGCTCAAATCTTGTGGTGCTGGCGGAGCTATCATGCCTGATGGCTAAGTCATCATTATTGAACGAGTTGCTTGTGGCCACCGGTGGCATAGTTAATAGTGACTGATAGTGAGACTTCATAGACACGCAAAAGTATTGCAGAAAAAGGGAACTGCCAAGTATGAACCCTATGCTTCTGTTGTCTTGGAACATCCAATCTCAAAATGCCTCTAATTCTGGAATCTGCGTCACATGCATCTCCAAGGCCACGTTTGAGAGTAGTCGTTGCTGAAGAAAGGCAGCAACAAAACTCGACACTTTCCTCATCAGGACATCATTGACATCACGAAGTAACACTGACTAACATGGTCTCATGCGCGATCATGTAAGAGACCCCAAGCATGTCCACAGTCCTAACATGATTTCTAGAATCTTTCCGTCCTCCGGGGTGTGCTCAACTTGAAGTCAAAGCCCAACAAGCGATTTTTGGCTGAGCCGATCCTAGTAAACTATTGCCGTACCCAGGCTTCTCAAGAAAACCTCGGAGCTTGAACGGCGGGCCTGGAGGTAGGATACCGCACCGCTGATGGGTAAATACGCCGTGACGGCCTCCACGCCACAGCAGAAAATGACATCCTCCGGGCGAGTTCATTCGAAATTCATGAAGGTCTGCTTAGTTGGCATCACCTTGATGAGCCAGAAGACGATGTCAGAACAACACACAACCTCAATCAGCCTCATTGTTTGCGGTCAACACCTTGTTTACTTTAGTCTACGAAAGATGTGACGCAGGACGCTTCTGTTAACCCATCAGGACAACACCAATATGTTCGCAGCTCAAGACTTGGTGGTGTAGTAGTCTCTTAGCGATAGAGGTCCAGGTCAAATTGAGCACATCCACTTTCTGAATCTACTTCCACTCAAGCCCAACTTGCCTCAGCCTTAAACCAGCCCAGGCCACATTGCAAAGCTTGACCCAAGCTACAGGACCAAAAAAACGATGAAGTCTGAAGACTATAGCCAACCTGCTGGACCTTAAATCCAAAGGTCCTTGGAGGCAACGGTGCACGTGCTGAACGCACAGCTTGCCAAGGTCCGCATCATATCAAGCGTCTGCACGTTGTGCCCTCGCATTGAGGATGAACTACTCATTGGAAGCTGCTTGGGGAGTTGCCGCTGTTGTGTCGTTGTGTCGGTGTGTCGGGGCTAATAGCAAAACCGCTGATTGCCTCTTGAAGGGCTCAAGGTTTGGAAGAACCGCAAATGCCGTGGGAGAGTATTTCTCCAGGCCTTCGGGTGGGATATCAAGCAATCCATCCTATCTCCCCAGCTATGACTGCAGCACTAAACACTGAACCGGTAGGTTGAGTACTACCTAGTTGAATGCCAACGAAAAACCGGCGCAGCCACCAGGATGATAGAAGTACGTATATTTACATGATTTCGCTTAGCTGTCGGACATCTGGTCTTTTTCGTGAGCAGCTAGATGCTAGGCGATCGGCCAGAGCTGGTGCTCATACAATCTGTGTATGCAAAAAATCAACTCCATGCAGAGCTAGGCAGCTAGCTGCTGGTGACTACTGGATAGCCTTCTACACCCCCAAGCGCACATCCTCCTGGTCTTCCTACGTTTTACAGTGCAAACGATTGCGAACAACCCTTAAGACAAATGGATTCTGATTCCCTTCCAAGGCTCACTTCAGAACCGCGCCCAGGAATGGCATGGCCAGCATACTGTTGTGGTGCTTTTCCTGTGTAGGTCGGCTGACAATATCCGAAGCCCACCACTCCCACCACATACGAAGCCCGAAGCTTGAGTCACAACAGCCCAAACGCATGCAGACTCCAGTTCCTGTGATTATTACATCAGCAGAGGCTGCCTCCGCAAAGCCTAAATGTACACTGTTTCATGTCGCACGATAAATTTGAGCATGCAGCCACCTGCACTTGCACGTCCGCAGTGTGCTTCCCCATACATCTAGAGATCCTTCTGGCATGGGATCCTAGACGAATGCCAACCCAGATGGAGCCATCGATGATGCCAGTACAGAGCCGAAACAAATTCAAGATTAATCTGGGGGTCGTTCCCGAGATGCAACACATGGAAGCACCCCACCACTCCAGTCCGCTAAATCTAGAACGGGTTGTTTGGTCCGGCTAGTGATGGGTGGAAAATCAGTTCTAGGTTCTCGGGCATCCGCTATACAAGCTACACTGCTGTCAGAATCTGCAAGCACAGTGTCGAGCTGTAATTCGCACATCAGTGGCCGAGAAAGCATCTCCAGCAGGGGGACCTCAGCACGTGCTTCTTGGATTGAGCCATAGCATTTCAAAGATGCGAAAGAAAAAGGGCACTATCCTATGCATGTGAAAGTAGTGGCGGTACTTATGGGAATGCAATGATGCTCATGTCTCTCGTCCACAAAATTTGTTTGGCGACCATTGAGGAATGTTGTCTTTTTAAAATTATGTGTCAGGCATCCTTCCTTGAAAGCCCATGTGGAGCCTGCTGTTGTAAAAATACAGCTGCCTAGCCATCGGGCAAACACATTACTTGCAGGTAAAGCCTGCTGGTGGCTGGCATGATTCTTTTGTGCGCAGCAATTTGTCGCGCGCAAAGCCCTGAGGAGTACTAGTTACCATACGACGGCTTTTGAGTAGTTGCATGGGCGTGTGACAAGTGAGCTGCTTTCTTGGAATTTTGTTTGAGCATCCTACAAACACAGTTGTGTTGGGAGCCTGGTGCGACAGACGGAGCGCTGAAAGGGGAGTTCAGTAGGATGGGACGCATGCTGGCAAGAAGACACCCAAGATCCCATGAACGCAGCAAGAATAGACATGGCACAAGCAAGACAAGCTTCAGGAGCCGAGCAAGGGCTCCCAAGGGCATACGGGAAAACCCCAAAACTAGGGTCACCCATGTACCTCAAAAACCAGAACCTTCAGAACCTCATGATACACGTCCGACGCAGCCAGTCCCAGCATGAGAAGTTCATGGGGGACATGGCTTTCTGCCTGAGCTTGTTGGCTGCCAAGTGGACTAGCAGCACTACCGCTAAACTCAAGCAAAATGCTGATCTCCTACAGCTGAGAATATTACCTGCAACCTTCTCACCGGAACTGACATTCTACTCGCAAACTCTCACAAGCCCAACCCAACACCGTGAACCTCAAACAATCAACCCTTGGCCCCAATTTAAACCCAAACCCTCGAACGGAATCCAAGCTTCCGCCCTTACCCGCAGAACCCTACACCCTGATCCAAAATGATCTATGCCTGGGGCCCTTAATCCCCAAACCCTTATGCCCCGCAAGCTCTGGTGTGGCCAAGAGGCGTGCATGTCTTGCGAAGACGCCTCGCGCTCAGCCCCATGGAATACGATTCACTTAGCAGCTAGATCATGGGGTGCTTTGAATTCTTGCAAGGTAGTTTAAAGCTTGTTGTAGACAAGGCTAATTACATGTTGCTACAAGTACTGGTACTGGGAGTGCGCACCGGCCAGACTGAAAGTTGCAGCGACAAATGGATTAAGCGCACTGGTACTATCAAACTTCGTGAATGGGTACAGTGGATGCAATCTGCCAAGCAGAAGCAGAATCATAGAACAAGGGCTGATAACAGAAGCCAGCTGCGGGCCCTTCGAACACAAGAGGCCCAAAAATGATCTCCCAAAGCACTATACACAGCTGTTTTCGTAGGACGGCGTATACTTGCGGACACCTGCCATTCCAAAACAAATCGACAACATGTTGTTTGCGCACGGAGTCTGCCAATCATATCATAGATCTAGTCTTCCGTGCTGCTCTCGCACACCAATCAAAAGGAGGTGTAGCAGGCGCCTCAACTGCTCGAACAGTTGAACTGCCCTGCCAGTTGAGTGCGACGATGCTTCATGTTTGAATCATTGCGTCCTTATGAATGGTGGCGCGCAAGCCATGATACACACAATTGGATCCGTGTGAGCCAAGACTACCTCACTTGAATCACCGGTCTATTGCCTCATGTTACCCGCATGGCTCAAGTATCCGCATGACAGTGTTGCGGCCCCACTCGTATGTCATGCAGCTACTTGCCAACTTGTTACGGCAAAGCTTCAGGAAAAACCTTGTCGGCCGGGCATATCACGCTAATTAGGCCAACAGCCAAGCATACCAGTACCAGGCCACATACCACAGGCCTAATGAGCCCTGCTACTCGCATGGTTCGAGTACGCGGATACTTTGCGGGTGGCTCAACTTGTATATCAAATGTACCATATAGGCAGTTGCTAACTGTTGCGGTCAAGCTTCTGAATGCCTTATTAGGCCTAGCCCAGTTTTTCAAGCAATTTGCCTGGTGCTGGGCCATGTAAGCGTGCTGCAAGAACTTAGTGATGCGCTGGCACAGGTCCGTGGAAATGCTGTTGTGCCTGCAGGCTGCACAGCACGCTGGGGCTATACGCAAGAGGTCTGCAGCGGGCGTGTGCTTTTAAATATCGGTGGCTACATCTCAATCGGGCTCCAACTTCGGGCAGCTGAAGCAAGAAACCAATAACTTGAAGCATCCTGAAGCTCCTAGAAGAACTTCGGACCATGTTAACTGAACGAAGAAGTCGTTACGGAAAGCTTCAGAGCACTGAAAGGCAGGAGTGTAAACGGACATGTGGCATCAGTGTTCGGTGCTTCGGGCATAGGACTGGTTACTCGGTCCGACAAAACAGGAGCAGATGTCATGAAGAGAAAAAGGACTTTGAACCGAGGCCCGACTGACCAGCTATTCCAAATGATAAGATCCTAATCTGGCTAATAAACACCCATATAGAGGAGGAGATTTTCAAAGAACAGCCTCCTTTGTAGAACCTCAAAAGCACCAGCTGTCATGACGATGATCCCAACATGTTTGGAAACTCCCTTTAAGATCCATCGCGCTCTTAAAAACTCCTGCCATGTGTAAGCTGAAGTCAAGCCGCAACAAATAGCGCTGCAACTGGCTGAAGAGGCGTGTCTCCTCCTCCTGTTTCAGGATACTTCTCGTCTGTCAGAAATGCAGCTCTATGCAGCAGGCGGTGGTATCACAAAGTGGCAGCATTGATCTGATGGGTACGTTTCTCTGGGAAACCCATCTCACGAGTGATTAGCCGTTGGGTCAGGTTGATGCATGGGGCGCACAGGAAAGGTGCCAACACGGAACCAGTCGCGCTCATAGTTTTGACCTCTACCTTGAGGTAGCCCCGAAATAATGCACGGCTTTGCTGTGGGTACCCTAAACCGGCATAAACCAAGAATCCAGAAGCAGCCACCCATTCCCTCAACGGCCTTGCTGCGGTAGTAAGAGGTCATCATGGACGTCATTGACGACACCATGGTAGAAAAAGTGATGAGCGATAGCAGCGCCACGAAGATGCCTGCTGTAACATGACGCTTTAACTGAAGCCCGAAAGCGACATGGCAACATGTAACAGGAAACCTTTTGTGCCTGCAGGGATGGCATGGGTTTGAACTGCAATCATTAAGAATGAGTCACGGGCTCCTCATGTGTGTGGTTATGTCTTTGAATAATGCGCATAGCCCGCAGAACCTACTACCCAGTCAGGCGACTTGCAGCAACGACTTGGTACTCTAAGTAGGGTGGGACACTTCACAGTGGAATTCCTCATCAATGCGAAGAATCTGTCTGGGTTCCGGTCTTGGCCCCGTTACATGGTTCTTGGACCCTTCCAAATATTCAGCCTGCTATGCATGCATGCAGCAGAAGAGGCTTGCTTTAAATCCACTTTCACATGCACGAAGCTTTCCCCAGCTCAGAATCAACAAATTAGCGAAAGTATTGTGATACGTGCCTGTCTGCACTGCTGCAATCCGTATGCGCTCTGAAACGAGGACAAGGCACTGAAGATGCGCTCTGGAGCATTTGTGGCCTGGCGGGGAATGTGACCAAATCACACGATGCAGGCTGCAAATTATCATCATTTCTACAGCCATACCGCTGCTAGACGTAGTCGTAGCAGTAGAAGTAGCAGCAGTAGTGGAAGAAGGACTAGTAATGCTAGTGTATGCCACTAACGCCATCACCACTGCCACCCCTATCGCCGCCACCGCCACCGGCACAACCGCGACTGCTGCCACAACCACTGCTAGTGATACTGCTACTGGTACTGCAGCTGCTGCTATCTTTACTGCTGCTAATAGCTGAATTGTTGATTTTAATCCTCCTCCTCCTCCTCCCCCTCCTCCTCCTCCTCCTCCTCCTCCTGCTCCTCCTGCCGCTGCGCTTGTTGTGCTACTGCTAGCGCTATCGCCCGTGCTACTGCTGCCGCTACCAGTACTAGTACCATTGCCAATACTAACATGAATACTAGTACTAAAGCTACGACGACGAGCTACACCACAACACCACCACAGCACAGAGGCTGAGAGTGCAGATGGCAAGTAAAGTGCAAATGGCATCATGCATGGGGGCCGTCCGCCGACGCACGGGCCTCAATCTCCGTTGATCCCACGCCGAGCTGGGCAATCGCCTTGAAAATTCCACTTGTTGGAGCTTCCGCCGGATGAGTTAGGGCTCAGGATTGACAACTCCCACTACAAGGCCTACGGCTTTGGACTGCACGACCGAGAGAAAACTGCTTGCGCACTCTGTACTCTGAATCAAGACAGAGTCTGAAGACAGAGCAGGAGACCGGAGCAATGGCAGTGTTGCCAATTCAGACCGCCACCTATATCTGTAATCTATACATATGAACCAACCTGCCGGCATGTGTCTGAACATCCTCCTAGGCCGACAATCCTGACCCAGCGAGTACATGTGGACTTTCCTGTCTTGTGGTTGACTCATGCTTTTTGTGATGTGCTAACGTACCACACTGCTAGGCGTGAATTTGTGATTTGTGGGTATGCTGTTCTGTGCGGTGTACGGATGTTTCTTCTCATATTGCAATTTACAAGTTATGCGTTGTTCTCATTACCACCGAGACACTAACGCTCCCAAAATCTAAGTTGAAACGTTGATGTCTCTCAGGACAGCAAGGTATCTAAGAAACAGTGTTGGCAGCTTGGAAAACGTTCAATGCTGAACTGAGATACTTACACTCCCAAAACTCACACTAGGCACCGAGTTCTAGGGCCGTTGAACTTGGAGGTTTTTTATTGGAGTAGGGACTCCCCAATCAGGTCTCGGTGAAAGGGGTTTGCGGTTTGCGTGTTTGATTCGGCATTGTTCTTTATCCCAGTAAGCAAAGTTGTCGCAATCCTTATGATTGCCAGGGATTTTGATAACTACATCCACGGCCGAATGAGTTCGATTTGCACTACCTGTCTCCGGATTTGCCTTAATCTGCAATAAAAAGTCAGCAAAAAAACAGGGTGTGCTTGGGATTAACCGAGCATTCTCTCTATTCATGCTTTGAATGGCTTGTCTTGGATTGGCTGCTAGCTGCGGGGGGGAGGGGGGGGGGTATAGCGGGGTAGAGCACTGCCTCCGCCGCAGATTCGCAATCATGTCGAGATATCCACCCCGCTGCACTATCCGCTTCACATATATACACGCATGCAACTGCAAAGTCCAAATGACACTAAGGAAAGAAGCGTCGCTCTTTGTGAAAGTGATGTTCACTGGTGATCATCATTGACACATTTCCCTGCCGATCGCTGAACTGCCAAGTACGACCCTGGCTGTTGCTAATCGCGCTTTCCGATGCATCTACCACGAACGCTGCTTCCGGCTACTATCTCACTCAACTGTTACCCACTTAGCCAACATTAACTGATGGATTCTGGAAGGCCTCACAAGGTGTACCCCAAAGGAGAGGATTCCTCCCAAGGGGCTCTCAGTCTTGAGGAAAGCCGGTCTTTGTCATCAGTGTCATAATGCCGCTGAGGCTAGGCATGCCAGACCACTAATTGCTGTTTGCCCCCTGTCTGAACCACTGAACCGTTCGCCATGAATCCTACAATCCCATGCAACACGTTTACGGAGATAATTATATATGACTGCACACCAGCAAAGAAGAAGGGATCTCTCTCTCTCTCTCTGCCTGCATGCAGAAGGTCATGAGACCCCCCCGCCGGAGTTCCACAGGCGACGGTCGAACAGAAACATCGAAAAGAAAGTATACCGCAAGGCAGTCTAAACTCTCCTTGACATGGACAGCATGAAGCGACGTGTAAACTAGTGAGGGACCTATCATTTTCAGAAAGCCCAAACCCTGAAACCCGAATCCGCCCCTGCTGCCGTCCAGGAGCCCAGTGCAAGCTCGAGGCATAGCCTAAGGAAAGCGAAAGGAGCCCGCAGTTTAAGGGCTTGGCTGTTGGGCATTACTTGTTATCATTACGGGCCAGTGTTTGTGGCTCCAGGAGTCTTGCGTGGGTTTATGATACGCATAGAATTTCAGGCCATAGGAGGCTTGCACCTTGTTCGGCTGAAGTGGCGTACGGTTCTCGGGATTTGGGAATGGGCTCAAGAAGGGTCGTTCTTGGGACATCCAGAACCCATAATTCCTTGCCTGACAACAAAACAAGAATCACCGCCGATGCTTCCACTACACCCTTGTTCGTCAAAACAACTTCAAATCAATCCAGGAAAGAAAGACAGGAACAACTCCCAGTGACCGCTATCTGAATTCTGAATCTGCAGGTATGACCTTCATGTAACTCTTGCCAAACAGCCAAATGAAACTAAGTTCCCCACATCAGCCTCATGTCCACCACGTGTCTATGTCATCTATGTGTTCAGAACACTCTGCAACAAGTTTGGGATTTAGAAGTCCGAAAGCTGCAGGTCTAACTAGCGAACGCCAGCACTTTGGCGGATTGCAAGCGCAGAGATAGTGTACTCGGTGCTAGGTCCAGGTAAACTCCCTTTCGCCGCCGAGTACAGTCGAACCCCCTCAGCCCCAGAACCTAAAGCCAGAGCGCAGCTCACAGCCTACCTTTCCTCTGGATCTCTAATTGGATCTAGGTAAAAACCCTGGCTTCCCAAAAAGAATTTTGAGGCAGCCAAGGAGCCATAAAGGGTGCCCTGGTACTCCACCCCATACCTCGTTGACCACCCTTCTGCATGCCCGCCGATGTGAGAAAACCCCCACCAGGCACACGCCACCCTGAGACTGCAAATGGTTGGACAAGCCCTTCTGCGGGTGAGGCTACCGGCTTTCAGGTATAGAAGACTACCATGAGAACATTAATTAGAGAGCTGGTAGGCAACTGGAAATGATATTTACCGAAAGAACTGGTACAAGCTTAGGATAATAGAAGCTGGTGCCTGAATCACGGCAAGGGTCCTCTGCTGAAGGACCACTTCCACCAAATCCTACACCTTGATCCTGAAACTATGAACCGCTCCGGAAGGTGCGGTGAAGTCTTGAAGGAATTCGGTTCGAAGTCACGGGTTTGTAGTTCAGGCTTGAAGGTTTAGCACGGCTTCGATTCAAGCTAACATGGTCCAGGACAGCAGATCTTTCTGACCACACAAACGCAACATGTTTGAATGGCTAGGAAGTGTTGATCCTCTATGCCTGCTTGTCAGGAGACCGAGCCTCCGTACGAGAGTATCATCCCAGAACCACGAACCCTGATACATGATTTTAGAGGTCCGCAATGGAAACATACGGCAGGTTCTGTACCAACTAATTGATGGGGAACGTGAGTAACCTTAGCGAGGCTGGGTCCAAACAGTTTGTACCGGAAATCAGCGTTTTTCTGCGGCACCCGAAACTCAAAAGCTCCCGCACTTGAAACCCCAGTATATACCCTTGTCATAAAACCTTTGCAGGCACCCAATGCTTGGGAACCCTCTACATCTGCTATTTGGATTTGCATCCTTCTGAAGATCCCTGGCAACCCTTCTCTACACTTCCAACCAGGCTGTTCACCAGCTAGCGTGAACATCTGAGCATGATATGAGATTTTCTCAGGGTAAAGGGGTCTCTGTTTGGAGGGAGTGACAACTTGCCTCATCTTTGAAGCAGCCTGGGCAGACCAACAATAACTTGAAGCCGTTCCCAGATAGTGATATCCTGACGAAACCACAACAAGCATGTGTCTCTCGCAAACACTCAGTACTGCTAGTGCTCTTGAAGCACAGAATGACTTAAATCATCACTCAGCATTGCCGCGGCACATGTGATTGAGAAGCAACAGCCGAATGATGTTCATAGCCAGGCTGTACCTTATCCACGGTCTATGGCACATTGAAGTATATCACTGTATAGCCTCGACGGCAAGCATCACTGGTCTCGCAGACTGACGAATGCTATTGTGCAGAGCTCTATGAAAACTGCAGTTGTGATAACTTTTTAGAAGCAGGCCGCAAGCAAGATCTCTTCTGATCGCTGCCCCGCACATTCTAGCTATGATCAGTGTAGGATTTGGAAGAATAGTTGACGCATAGTCTACTCGACTTTGACTGCAAAAAGACAGTATTGACAGATCTGATTTCTACAGTACCCTCCGGCACATGAACAGATGCTGAGACGCAAGGGCCTGATTGCTTCTCGCAAGAGAGGCTCTGCGGGACAATCTACGGAATCCCATCAAGATTGCGCAAAGATTCATTTAAGAAACTTCCCTGCCATCCACTTTGCACAAACTCCTCTGAGCGGCTGGACGTTCACTGCCCAGCCCTGCATGGCTTCCTGCGGAAGGGGCTTCAGCAAGCCTGACCTTCATGCCACAATCTATAGCCAACCTTACATCCTGAGGTAGGTAGGCTGCCGAAGCTCCAAACCTCCAAAGTTCTAATCCCTGAAGGATGGGCCTGTAATACCATAGCGGTTCGGCTCATCTTCCCCAGGCGTACCACCCGTACCAGGCGAAGAAGTCGGAGGATCCAAAGCACATTGTGGCCCTGACAACCATTTAGGGTTTGTTGCATATGGGCGGTGCTTTTGGACTGAAATTCGGCTCACTTAGGTTCCAAGCCAGAACATTCTGGTGTTGCACCCAAGACTGGAGCAGGCTTTCGGCAACGGAGCGGTCTTGTGACAGCTCGGTTCCTGAAGGTGCGCGTTAAAGCAAGTAGAAGATAATTACAGAGGAGACGAAGCTGGTGTTCTGCAAAGCCGCAAATCCGCGTCCTGCTAGCGTATAGCCTCCACACCAACACTTCTCATCAACGTCTTCATCCGTGGACGCTTCATCTCAAATCTAACAGCTCAACTACCTCTAATTACCCTCAATGAGCAGACAAATCAAGCACAAGGGAGTCCCTGGATTGGTTGGGTATAACTGTCCTATATTTGGGTTATTCTATTCGGGTTATACTAGGGTTATAATGAGATTATACTGGGGTTATATTGGGATGATAGAAAAATGGAAGCCACTATTTAAATTTAGGCTTTAGGGCAAGATTTTCCAGATGCCCCAAAACTGCAGCGAGTTCTTTCCAACTGGCCAGAAGTCAGGCATCAGGCAACGCACAGACTTGAAAACGGGGTTTCCCAACTATGGTGAATTAGTCAACACCCCACAAGATCAACCATTTCCTGGAAAATCACCGTGGAAAGACATTAATTGGTCATGAAATGGATACTTGATCATATGTATGTACATGCAGACATACATATGCGTTGCACTATCATTCCCGGCCTCCTTTCCTTCCCATGTCCTTAAAATTGTCACAGTGTACATGATTGTGCACATCTACATGTCCGAACACCTTACTACATTACTACATTCTTTCATGTATGAATTCTACGAAACCTCCTGATACTGAAGCCTACGACATGAGCTCTACCAAGCCCTTTAAGCCCCCAAGCCCCAAACGCTTTACCCCATGTAAAGGTACAGCATGGGAAGATTTGCAGCCTGAAAGCGTACTCCTGCACCCTCATTGAAGCCAAATTAAACTACAAACCTTGCGAAGCTCAAGGAGCCTCACCGTTATTGGACCTGACGCCCTCAATTCAACGCTTGCACCTGGTTACCGCCTGTTCCTTCGACGGCCAGAGCCTCAGAGTCTCCAAGAACAGCCACCTCCCCTACTAATAAACTTTGAACGGCACTAATCATGGTTTACCCGGTCTACCTCCAATCTTCACCATGTTTCTTGTTGGGGGTGTGGGAAAGGGGATTATGCTTAGGCAGAGGTGTTTGCAAGAAAAGCGGACAGGACAATTAAGCTGCGTAGGATCTACGCCTGAGGCGTGGAGTATGGAGTTGAGGGTTTTGGGTGCAAGGTTTGGCAATTTGGGGTCCGAGCAGGGCTCTGAGCCCTGAGCCCTCAAGCCCAGACTCTGAACCTGAATTCAGGGTTGTAAGGCTTGTAAGGCCCGGGTATGCCTTCTGAGAGAGAGTACTTAGGAAACGAAATGTTACTGACTGCGCCTGGGAACCCATGGTTGTTTCTAGCCAGCGCGACTACTCGAATGAGCAGCCCATGAGTTGTTGGCTGGTACTTGGCTTCTGTAGGTTCTTACAACGTTTATTAAGTTGAAGAGATGTTTCTCTTTTGTATAGGCTTCCATGGGATCATTCAGGCTTGAACGGCCATCAAACGTTCAAAAGGCGCAAGGTGCTGAAGTTTCGTATGAGGCCTGAGTATCCAAGGGGCTTATGGCTGTGTCCAGTAAATCTATCATGGACAAAACCACGGCGGAGGACGCGCCGTTTAGGCTTTGCTAGGACTTTTGGAAATGTGCCTTTCATGGCTCACTCGAGACCACTTTCGCAAAAATCCGTGTAAGTTTCTCAGCACCACTTGCCCTCCTGAACTCCAGAAAATGGGACCTTCACAAAAAACAACTGAAAATCAGACACGTGAGAACGTGTCCGTGAATTAGACAAGAATTTAGAGACGGCATCCCGTTGATCCATCCGTGAGTCCTTGACTTGGTGAATTGTTGAGGTTGCACCAAGGAGTTTTAAGTTCGATGGTAGTGCCGAATCTTGCTTAGTGTGGGGGCCCTCGCTTGTGTGGAAGTTTGGCCGAAAGTATTCAGCACACCAAATTCGTTTGGGGGACTGAAATGTGTGACGCTGCGCAGCCCAAATATGTTTTTGGAATTCGCTAGGTAGGATAAAAACTAATCTGCTTTCTAAACTATGGCTGGTAGCCCGTCTAAGATGCTGTCAAAACTCGAACCCCTGATTAAGCCCTTCGGCATGATTTCTGAAACCCTTCTGAGTCTTTACCTGGGCTTATCCCTCCTGTTAAGTGTAAGTTAAACCTGCGTTCCAAATTTGTTTGGGGGATGGGGTACCCTGATCGGGCCCGAACATTCGTCAGAGTGAGAACACTTCTCTGGGATCAGGAACGCCCGCCGTCTTTAAGAAAGGGCCCTGCAACCGTGCACAAAAGCCGAAGCTCATGTGCCATCAACAGGAGAGCTTAAGCTCCAAACATGCAAGCAAAGGACCCGAGATCACCTCATGCCATGCTGTCCCTTGTGCAAACATGTCGACTGGGAGGATGGCAGGCATCCTTTATGTTAATGGCGGAACAAGAAAGCACCCCAAATGGGGACCTAAAAAAAGAACGCAAGATGAACGAGGAACCATTGCGCCTGAAGGAGTTTGCATACAATGTCTGGCCTTGATGTTAAGATTGTGCGTGAGGCAGGGGAAAAAGCACAGAGTTTACATACATGTTTTGCCTGCCTGCCTCCACCACTGGAGAGTCTCTACAGAGGAAGCTCAAGATTCGGGATACCAAAACCCTCGTAGACAGTCTCGGATTCTTGTGAATTCTGCTCTGCAAACAAGTAGCAACCCAGTCTAAACTCACCAGCATGATGTCCACTGGGAACCAGGTTCGCACGTACTTCCGAGCCACGACCTATCGCACAGGGGTTCAAGTACCTACGCAGTCTGAGCATGTCCTTGGGCCTCAAATGTGTCCACACATGAATTCCTTCTGAGCTTCGAGTATGTAGCTTGAAAAGGGGACCTTCTGGGTAGGTTGCCGCGAAAAGCTTCAGGTCCTAAGCACATTTCTAAGCTGCGGATCTCTGTGCCCAACCAACACTATCTACGAACTGTGGATGCGAGATTTGCATGGATCGTTTAAGCATACTCTAGACGGAGACATTCGAGAAATCTTTAAATAGCCTGGAGGACTTAGGACCGCCTTTAACTACCCATCCACCTTTCAAGTTGGAATCTTAAGATGTGTTTGCTTGTGCAACGCACTTGGACTCTCCTCGCCTGCAGTAAGAATCCGCTTGGAAGTCTTAACAAGATGCAAGCGTTCTGGGATCTGTAGATGCCGCCCCCAACTGCAAACCAGGCTCCAAGAAAAGAACCATGCTTTGGGCATGTGCTCTAAGCCCTATGCACCTTTGCAAGCCCTCTACAACTCTGCAAGTTGTCGGACACCTCTACATGAGCACCCAGAAAATCAAACTCCGTTGACGAGGCCAAATGGGGGACGAACCTTTGCAGTGTGCTACTGAACCCAAGGTATGTAGCATGTGGGAGACTTCAGCACTTTGCCAAGAAGACGAGCGACAAGGGCATCCATAACCAGAACTCCCTTGCTGTAGGTGCCAGTGCAAAAAGACATCCTTAAATGGCTGTGTGACTGGTTTTGAGAGTTTAGGAGGGCTTCGTCGGACTCAGAGGTTTGAATGTTTCGCGGCCTTTGCACAGGGGGTCGGTTGTGACTCAAAGATGTGCCTGTTCAATCAGCACACCCCAAGAACGGCCACAGCTTGTAGGCACCCAAAGTGAGGAGAGCAGCAAGGCTTATATAGCAACAAACACGTCAGAGCAAGCCCGGTGCAGAGTCACGGCTTCAAATGCTTAAGCGTACAACGCAAGTGCTCATGTGTCTCACGCCTGTGCATGGGCCAGTTGCTTACGACTCAGCAAGAAATGGTGAAGTGGTGCTGTTGGTGGCTGTGGTAGTAATGGTGGTAGTAGCAGTCGTAACAGCAACATTAGCAGAAGGAGTATGGGAAAGAAGGCAAGCAGCATTTAAGCAAAACGAACGAACAGCTGTAGCAGCAAAAGTAGGTGTAACTGGCGGAGGACTCGCGCTGTCATTGGCAGCCGCCCTAGTAGCAGAGGCAGCTGCCGCAGCAAAGAGAGGAGCTGACGCAGACAGAGGCAAAGGCAGTGGCAGCAGCGGTGGCGGCGGCGGTTGCCACGGCAGTAGTAACCCGAGGCAGGAGGGAATCTTCGTGTGAATGACAATGCGGACAACCATCGTCGACATGAAGCCCATCAATTGCAAGTGCTGGTGGTGTCACGGATCAGAGAAAAATAAGCCCGACATAAAGTCTCAAACCCTAGCCAAGGTCTAAACAGGCAACCCTAGGAAACCCAAAAAACAGCCTCAAAACCATAAACTCAATTGAAGCTGGTGCACACAATGTCTATGCTCCAGAACGCTATGGTCGACCATGAGAGAAAATCCAGGAATTCAGATTCCGGCAGGTCGAAGAACTGCAGCGGTATAAGTACGATGTCCTCAGAAGCTGCAACATGGCATTCACACAGGGAGTAAGGCATAGTATCAACACTCTCTGTCTTGTGATAGAAAACGTATAATGATATAATATAATGCTCATATTTTCGTCCCGGATTGTACCTTGCATCTGCCGATGTCAGAAAGGACCTACTTGGAGGCTCAAGCGGGTTTACAAATCGGGTATTCAGAAAAGTGGCAACGATGCCCTGAGCAGATCTGCATGCGAGTCATGCAAGCACCAGAAAACTATCACGTGGACTTGTTGGGATGGATCCTTTCAAAGCGCAGTCTGGTGTTGCGATGCAGATTCGGTGGAACGCAGCCACATGAAGCGACGGCCCCGTGCCCAATCGGACACAAAGGAATTGCCAGCGCAGCCAATCTTACCCCAAATGCAATTGAATAGTTGTTAATCACTTCCTCATATCAATAAACCCCCCCTAATAATAAATAACAAATCCGGGACCCTAAAA